GGATGGAAGGGAGTCACAGGTTAGCAGGAGCCCTTTTCCCTGGCCAAGAGAAACACGCTCAAAGAGCCAGAGCTTGCAGATAACACGGCTTGAAAAACACTTCTGTTTGCCAAAGTCCTACTCTTGCCCAAGCCCAATTACGCATTTATTTTTAATTTGGCCAAGCAAAAGCGTTTTTCCTTAGCTTATGGAAAAAACTTCCTCGCTTTGCAACTGCTTTTGAAATCTCCCTGGAGTGGTGGAGATGCTGGAGCAGTCTCTGGTCTGGGGAGGCATCAGAGCTGCTTCTGTAATGCTTCCCTCTCTGACAGGGGTTTGACTCAGACTTAGTGACAGCAGGGAAAGCATTCTTTCTCCTCCTCCTCCCCACCAGTGAAGGCTGGCTGGAGGCAGGATTTATCCCAGCCTGCTTGCACAGCTTCGGCTCCCAGGCTTGCATCAAATCTCCACCTTAACTCTTGTCTTCTTCTGTCTTGAACCTGGAATGACCCTCTGCCACGCAGAGAGCAGCTCCAGTCCTTCCTCCTTTGCTGTTGTCAGCCTGCAGCACTGGTCCATTACATGCACACATCCAAAGAGCTGCCTTCCTACCAGGGCCAACTCCTGAAATGACAGCTCTTGCCGCAGAAGTGCCCAATAAGCTGTATGCTGCCAGAAACTCTTTGGCTGCACTCCAGATCTTTGGGGCTCTTCAACACTTGGTCAACCATAAAGGAGTTCAAAAGCTGTCTGCTCTTCTTCCACACGCTGGTCTCCATGTTTCGTCCATTGGAGAAGTCCTGGTCCGCCAGTGTGGGAATGTTTATCTTGATGCTTCCTTGTATCTCAGGCTCTGTCAAAACTCTGATGGTATGGATAGGAGGGGAGTTATCCCATAGAGCTCTATCCACTGACAACGTCAAAGCATGCTTGCTCAGGTGAAAAGACCTGTCGGCCATTGCAATCAGTGCTATTGCCATGGAGGATTAACCCAGCAACACCTCCAGATCCAGAGTTATTGACTGGGAGCTGGGTATGTCTTTGGGAAGAAAGAGCCTTAATTGTGCAGAAGACAGAAGCCTTCCTCAGGCTGGAGGTAGCCAGCTTTGCTCTCCAGAAAGCCCTTGGCATCTGAGAATGTTCCTTGAGGCACAGGAGGACAAGCAGACCCCAGAGCAGGAGGGCCGGACCTCGCAGCAAGCAGACTTGAGGAAGGCTGGCTTTGGGACAGGCTGTCTCTGCATATGCCAAGGGTGTCAGGGGCACTGCTGAGGCCCCATCAGGCCATCCTTGCTGACACAAGATGTCTCATCGACTCCCTTGACCGAGGTGTGCAGCGTCTGGCCCCAGGCCTGAATGTTTTGTGCATTGCTGCAGCTCGCACTTGCCAGTTTCCAAATCGGTCAGACGTGTCGACATCTGTTTCCATGGGATTGGGAAATGGTGTGGACGTTGCTCTGTCCCCAGCCCAGCAGCCAAGTCTCCATTTTTTTTAGCCCTGTTCATATTCTAGGTTATTCTAGAAATTCATGCCTCTCTTCACCAGCTTTGCTAACTGATCTGGAAGATGTTGAGAACTTGCCCCAAGATGCTGTGGCAACAGTTAAGCCCCCTACCCCACTCTCCCCTCTGCCCTAGCCACTTCCGCATGAGATCCAGAAGGTTAAACCAAGCTGTTACCTGGTCGCCAGGTGGTCCGAGGGGTCCTTCCCGCCCTTGGTCACCGGGTGGTCCAGGCTCTCCCTGAAAACGCATACAGAGGGCATGAGAAACTCAAAGAGGGACAGGCACAGAGCGCAAAGAGCCCTGCATTCGACAGGGATCAGGGATGCAGCACCAATAGCACATGCTAGATAGAAACGCGGTCACCCAAACAGGAAGGCTTTCAAGGAGTTGGGTAAGAAACTATCAGAGATATGGGGAGAGAGAGATGGGCTAGCGTGGCCACCTTCAAGCCAACAGAAAGACCTTCTGAGCTAGCAGCTTCCTTCCTCTACCCTTCTTCCTCCATCTGGCTGTCCCTGTGCAGGTAAGGGGATTTACAAACAGAATGAGTAGATGGGGGAAGGACGTCCTCACTTCTCATTGCTGATCCTCTCCCCTCTCCTTTGCTAGCGCTCAGCACCCTGAGCCAGGTTAGGGCTGTTTGCAGAGAGCTGACAGCCCAGGAGAGACAGGAAAACTTGAGTCTAGGTGGTTTTGCACCCCAGCAGCCCCAACAGAAGTAAATGACGAAGGGTTGGACATAGCTTAGCTTCACTTTCACTTAACCATTGTAGACGGGGACAGCCTTCCACCAGTTCAGCAGAGCTGTGTCCCAACAGGGCAGCATGCCTGCCAGACCCAGGCTGGCTCTGGGACACCCTCCCTATCTATACCCATGGTCAGGAGCGAGCAAGCCAGGGAGGCACAAAGGAGAGTGAGGAGGCGCAGCTCCCCATTCCTGCAGTCCAAGGGCTTGCTGCAAGTTCCTGGCAATTCCGGAGAAAACTTCCCCCCACTGCAAAGCAGAGCGTTACCCCTTGCAGGGCTGGGTGACAGCTAAGCACAGAGCTTTGCACCTTGCAGCCAAGCCACCCCCGAGATCAGCCAGCGCCACGCACTGCAAGATGGGCACCTTTGCACAAGGTGCTGCTCTGCCTGCAGCCCTGGGATGTGGGGCCAGGCAGACTCCAGCCCACAGGGAAGGGAGGCATTCAGGAACTTCCCATGACAGTCACACTTGACTTCAAACTTTGAGGAAAGTGGCTGAAAGCTCATCAACCTAGAGCTGCTGTTTGCAGGCTTGAAGCTTGCGGATGCCTAAGCCAAACAGTAAATATAAAATGCAACTTCCAAAGTGCCCTGAGCGCCAGTGGTGACGTTTCTGGCGAGGTTACGCAGCCTCGTGCTTGGACTAAAACTTGGAAGGATGCATCCCATCGTCTGCTGAACAATTTAACTCCAGGACACTGGCGTGCCTTCACCTCCTGTGCACATCTGCCCCGCACACCACGTGCAGCAGCGCTGCTGCTCTCCGGCAGTAAACAGGAAAGGAGAGAGGCTGGCAGCATCCCCCCTCCAGAGCCACCCCCTCCCCAGGGCGGACCTCTGCCTCCCCTCCTCCGAGGTGGTGATGGGTACTGGGTGTCCTTACTGCAGGAACAGGGGAAAAGCGGTGCGGTGGCGGCCCCCCACCGAGGCCGGGAGACTTGGGATGCTGCTGCTGGACGCCCTGGCTCCTGCCACCTCCTCCCTGCGCAGCAGCATCCCTCGTCCCTCCCCGGCATGCGTGGCACCTCTGCTGCTTGCCACATGTTTGTCCTGGCCTGCTGAGGGCTCTTGCCTGTCCCTTTCACCCTCACGCTCAGTGATTCACTCCCAGCAGGCAGGAAAAATACTTTCCTAGTGACTCCCACCCAAAAGGGGAGGGAAGGGTGTTCCCCGTCCCCTTCACACCCTCGCGTGCTGCCATGCCACTAATGGTACCTGTGCCCTGGTACCCCACACAGCCCCTGAGGACCCAGAGGAGGACACCTTGCCTCTTTGCTCTCCATCAACCGGTTTTGCAGACACAAGGCAGAGGCTGACCACCCTAAGCCTGCTCTTGGCTTGCTGGGCACATTCTGCTCCAGGTTTTGGTTGTTTGGTGATTAGCTGACAGCATAAAGGGGCGATTGCTGGGGGACAACAGCAGGTTGCCTCCGGGCTGGCAGGTAAAGGCACTGAGCTTGCCTGCTGGCCCGCAGACTGGTGCAGTCAGCCACTTGGGCACCTATTTCCAGCCCCTGGCTGCCAAGCATGAACCCGATTGCAAGCAGCCACTGAAAGCTACCCCGTGGGCACAGTTACCGGCTCTCCTCTTGGCCCGCGGTCGCCTGGTGAGCCTGGGGGGCCTCTTTCTCCATTGCTGCCCTGCAAGGAGATGGTGAGAACACAAAATCAGGACCTGCTCCCAGCAGGAGCAAAACCCTCCCTGGTTGCCCACTTCCAAGAGGGCTCACTCCCAGCCCTTCTGCCCCTCTGCAGGGTAGCAGCCCCTGCTGTGCCCTGCTGGAGCGGAGCCCAGCAGTGGTTCCCTCACTTACCCGTTCTCCAGGAGGACCATCCGCACCAGGAGCACCCTGCAGAGAAACAACAGGGGTGGTCAGGCAGTGGGGATGGCTGGCAAGCACACACAGAGGCACTGCGGGCATGGGCAAAGGGCTCACCTCATCACCTGTCTCTCCTGTCGGTCCAGGCTCACCCCGGTTTCCAGGTGCGCCCTGAGTGAGTAAGACACAGGGGTGCAAATGAGACAAGTCAGGAGGTTTCAGAGCCAAGCCCTGCATGCTTACAGAGCCTTGGGCAAGCTCTGCTTCAAAGCCAAGGCTGACGCAGGGGACCTCTGCCTCTCACAGAGGGCAGGGGATGCTCACACACAGGCATTTCACCCACCTTCTCTCCAGGGCTGCCAGGAATCCCCTGTCGGCCAGGTTTTCCATCGTCCCCAGGCTCCCCCTTCACAAGGGCACAAGGCACTTTTCAAGACTGCGTCCATCGCCCAGCAGTGGATTTTGGCTCCCGTGGTGCAGAGGCCGTCAGGAGCCCTGGTGCACCCCAAGCCCCTTTCTGGGCTGTGATCCCTCCCCAAGATGCTCCCCATCCCTAGTAGATCCACCTCCCCCTTCACCTGCCCTGTGCAAGGCACCTTTTCACAGCAGCCCCCCAATATGCCAGGGATGCTTGTGCCAGGCTTGTGGGCACATGCTAGCCTTGGGCATGCTGAGAGTCACACCAGCCAGATCTTACTGTGGGTGACGGGCAGCGTCCTGGGCTTGCCCTCAAGCAGCACAAAGAGGCCAGCGATGGGCCAGTGGCCACCTCTCCCTCTTGCAGGAGAGGGGTCCCAGCACCCCTCCTTCCCTGTGGGGCTGGGCAGAGTGGCTCACCTTTCCTCCCTTGAGTCCGTAAGCACCAGGATCTCCCTTCGGTCCAGGCGGGCCTTGAGCTCCCTGTTGAAAATAAAGGAAGCATCACTGAAAACCAACCCGGTATCACTATCTGTGGGAAACAGGGCATGGACCGAGCATCCCATCAGCCTGGCCCACAGCTCCCCAGCAGGACGGACAGGAGGGACATGCGCTCAGGGATGGCATAGTACGCTTGCACCATGGAGCCGTGCAAGCAACGCTGCAGCCATATTGCTGAAACGCTGCAAAACTGAGTGTGCTTCTGCAGCTCAGGGGAAAATGGCAGAAAAGGTGGTTGTTGGGCTGCTGTGGCTGGTCTGCAGCGATACTGGTACCACCACAATGTGTCATCCTGGGAGCACGGAAACAAGCAGGGAAACCAGAGAAATGCAATGTCAGAATAATGTTTTCCTGAGTCCTCCAAAATCTCCAACATTTTATGGGTGATGGGTCACAGCAGTCTGAAATTGGTTAATCCTGGGTTTTCCTGTCTGGCACTGAGCTCTTCTTTGCCGAGTTCCCTGTGCTGAACAGCCTCCAGCCAAATGGTCCCCCAGCATGTGGCTTCCTGTGCAGCGCCATGCAATGGGGGACAGCTTCCAGGCAAGGACAAGGCAGATTGCCCCGGGGACACCCCTGAGGTGCCCTGCTGGGATGAGCATCGCATGTCTAAAGGAGTATTTTCAAGTACAGCAACTCCCTGCTCCCACAGCTCCCCTTCTTGAGGGGCTCCCCGTTTCCACGCGCCATCATGGCAGACCGGCTGCGCTGGTTTGTTCGCGTGCGAGGGGCACCCACAAGGTACGTACGTCGAATCCGGGTGAGCCTTTGCAGCCAGGTAACCCAGGGTATCCAGCTTCACCCTGTCAAACAGACAAAGCAGGAGTCCCCATGAGCGATGCCTGTGGGAAGACCCCATCCATCATCACCCCAGCGCCCTGAAAGGGACATCCCAGCCTTGTCCCTGGCTGGCAGGTGGACAGGGATCTGCAGGGAGGAAGACCAACTGTCCCACATGGGACACTGAGTTTGTTCTGGGACCCCAAAATGATTTTGGAGGGGCAAAAGTCAGGATTGTCAGGCTAAGTAAGGTGTCCTGGAGCAGATACTTACCTTCATGCCGTCAATGCCATCAATTCCACGCCTGCCCTTCTCACCCTGAAACGGAGAAGAGGGACCATGAAGAAATAATTTCCAAAGACCCTTCTCCCCACAGGTATCAACCAGAAAGAATAAATGGTGCAAAAGCAGAGACTGACCTTGGCTCCTTTGGCTCCTCTTGAGCCCTGCAAAGGGAAGGAGAGAGATGCTAGGCCCCTGCACAGAGCAGCTCCATGCCCCCCACCACGCTGTGGTCCCCACACTAGCTCGGTCTGAGGGTGCAGGCATTCACCGTGCCCCTGCACGCCACCAGTCTCTCCCGTTCTGCCTGGCTGTGCCCACTGCTCGGTGCTTGCCTGGTCCCCAAGGCTGCATCAGCTGGAAATGGGCATCTCCCGTCGGGTCCCCGCTCCCAGCACTGGAGATGCCACCAGGAGGGATGGAGACAGCGGCATGGGCATGTACTAGACCCCAACACTGCGCAGGTGCAGGGGTAGCCCAGGCTAACTAAGCAGGGGGACACAGAGAAGCCTTCCCCCTCCTGTCATGTCCTTGCTATCCTCACCTTTTCTCCTCGACTTCCTTTGTCGCCCTAGATATGGAAGGAGAGAGAAAAATGGGAGAATGAAAACACTTGCAGCACAAAGCCTCTAGCCCATCTAGGAAGCATGCCTGTGACCCTGCAGCCCCACGTACCTTCATTCCTTGGTAGCCGACAGGTCCCATGTCCCCTGGCCTGCCCTAGAGGACAGGAAAATGGTGTTATGGAGGAAAATACTGGCACTAGCCACCAAGGGGGCAGTTTACCCCAGACTCTTTATGTGGGGCTCAGCCCCCAACCACCATACCCGCTAGCAGGAGCCTCTCCCCTAACCACACTCCTTGTTTGCCTGATCTGAGAGCACGGGATCATTGCTGGAAAGGAAATCACTGCTACAAGAAAGCTGGAAAGGGACTTTTTACAAAGGTATGTAGTGACAGGACAAGGGGCAATGGCTTTAAACTGAAAGAGGGGAGATTTCCATTAGATCTAAGGAAGAAATTTTTTACATTGAGGGTGGTGAGGCACTGGGACAGGTTGCCCAGAGAAGTTGTGGCTGCCCCATCCCTGGAAGTGTTCAAGGCCAGGTTGGATGAGGCTTTGAGCAACCTGGTGTAGCGGCGGGTGTCCCTGCCCATGGCAGGGGGGTTGGAACTAGATGATCTTTGAGATCCCTTCCAACCCAAACCATTCTATGATTCTATGATTCTATGATTGTGGAGGGCAGAGTGGACCTGCCTTCACCTCCACCATCTCCAGGCCTTCGTGGGGATGAGGGAAACTGGACACTTGAGGACAAGTCATCTGGGATGAAAGGGAGGGGCAGAAAACTCTTCAGAAGGAAAGATCCGCGTGTGCATGACACAGGGTTTCCAAATTGAGAACACACAAGCTGAGTAACTGCACACTCACGTGTGTGGGAGAAATGCACCTCCCCAAAATAAGCGTACCTAGCAAAAAAAAAGGGAGGAGGAGGGAAATAGTTTCCTCATGTTATTAGCTTATTATTTACCAAAGGTTTCCCTGTAACACTGCTGTGCTTGTCATGTCAGAGGATGCGGGAGAGAGTCCACCCCTGGGCTGGCATACATGAGTCAGAGACATGTCCTCCAGGAGGAGTGGCTATTTTGGGTGAGGAACAAGGAAGCCTTGTAGCAACAGAGGAGGGGGCCATCCTGCTGCCTGGCAGGAGCCAGGTGGCTGCGGAGGTGGACAGCTGGCCACAACCCCACTGACTACCCCACGGAAACGGGGTGATGCAGGGGCGAGGGCTGCTGAGGATGCGCCTGAGAGGTCTGGCCAGAAGTGGCCAAAAAACAGCTCCTGTGCAGAGTCGCCAGGGCTGGTCCTTTACTTACTGGAGCTCCAGCCTCTCCTTTCTGGCCGGGAAGACCTGGCTTGCCTCTTTCTCCCTGCAATACAGAACATAAATAAAGTTAGCTTGTCATCCCCAGAAACAGAACAACCTGTTGAAAGGAAAGGAGAGAGGATGGTAGCAAGAATGCTCCAGGGATTTGTGGAACAGATGATGTCTGCTGCATGGGAGCATGGTGTGGGTCCTCATCCACCCCTCCATGGGGCAGTGGCAGGGTGCTGAGGACCTGTGCCCCACCAATCTCTGAGCATCCCCGGTGAGCCCGTCCCACCACCCCAATCCCACAGCACGGCCGCAGCTGGCCCCTCACCTCATTGCCCGCGTCGCCAGGAGGTCCGGGAGGCCCTCGAGGAGGCTGTGGGAGAGAGGGGTGGGTCAGACCAGCCAGCGAGGCACAGCCTGCTGGGGCCATGGGGTTGCAAGGGGAGGGGATGGGGGGCCTCAAACGCCCAACTCACCTGGCACTCAAAGGAGCAGCACTGCTCAGAGAGAAGGAGAAAACAGCATTAGAGGCAGCGGGCAGCACCAGGGCCAGGCTGCACCCTGCTCGGGGGCAGCTCCCCAGGC